TTCATTTACATAATCTATATCTTCTAGTATTTTTTTTTTCTATTCTCAATTACATTTAACAAGTGTTTCATAGTCCTATTATCGAACAATGCAGAGTCTTAGAATTTCCTCATTAATTATGCAAATTAGCTCCTGATTTGCATAATTATCATTTGATTATGTCAAGCATCACTTCAGCTACCTACATACCAAAAATCATGACAATCCGTCACCCGGTTCCTTAGTTATCATCCTTCGAAAAATTTTCAACAAATGCTCCTGCAGTTCCAGAACAAGCCGCTAGGGGGCCCAAACTTATGTCACATCTTCCCTACCCCAAGACCTATCTACCACCTAAAATTCGTGACCCTAGCATGTACAGATCGCGAGATATCAAAACCGGAAGTTCTGCTGCAGTACCAACAGAAGCCGCCAGGGGACCCAAAATCTAATCATTTCTAGCTCTTATGAAGACCTACCCACCTACCAAGTTTCATGACAATGCATACTAAGCTTCTTGAGTTATGCTGTTCACAAACAGACAGACAGACAGACGGACAAACGCTACTGAAAACATAACCTTCTTGGCGAAGGTAATAATTTCAGACATGAGAAGATGAGGCAGAGTGCGGGAAAGGAACGGTTCAATCTATCAAATATTAGCCACAATGATCGTACGAACCTTTCATTCTTCGATCCAGTTCTTTGGTAAACAGCACGTTGGCCAGCTTGCTCTGACAGTAGGCCTTGATTGGTCCGTAACTCTTCTCCAGGTTGATGTCATCAAAGTGGATGTGCCCTCCATAGTGCGCCGAAGAGGCGACATTGACGACCCGGCTGGGAGCGGAGTTCTTGAGTTTGTCCAGCAGCAGGTTGGTGAGGAGGAAGTGACCCAGGTGGTTCGTGCCAAACTGCATCTCAAAACCGTCTTCGGTCTTCCATTGTGGGCAAGTCATGATTCCTGAAGTATTGTACAAAAGACAAACACGTCACATGAAAATAAACATGATATGAGCTTTTGGCTCAAATCTCAGATCCCCAGTCTTGAAATATTTCTGCAGGACTATTCATGTATGGACTATTCATGTATGATCATGTGTATTGTAATAAAGAAAACCATCTATGGCTACATTACATTGTTGTAGAACCTAGCACCGATATATATAATTGAGGTTGACGACTGTTCTCTTACACCCAAATTTCAGAGCATGCCCGCTGTAGTGATTGCACAATTGCTTGTGAGGCCCAGACTCCCCATACGCCATGTTATGATACTGTATCCAACCACTCAAAACTAACCAGCATTGTTGATGAGAATGTCCAGTCGAGACTCCGTGCCGTTGGCCTTGGCTGCGAACTCCCGGACGGACTTCAGCGAGGCCAGGTCCAGCTTCTCTACGACGACATTTCCGTTTCCGGTGTCCTTACGAATCGCTTCAGCAGCAG